TATTGCTGGGAGAAATTCGTTAAAATTTTGTTATCATTCTTGGCACACGGTTTTAGAAGTTTAGTAAAAAATATATTTGCACATTAAATTCTCAAACTATAATTTTATGATTTATTTGTTTAATTCATTTTCGTCTATATGTCATAAGATTCCAGTTCCAATATATAATATATAAGGTTCCAGTGAAAATGATCGCAAGAACTGTATTCTTTTCTTACAAGATAACCTTAGCATTTCTTATCAACTTCCCTAGGCCATGCTTTTGAACGACAGCGTTCATCTCGATACGAAGTGATGCAGATACGCAAGAATGTACGGCTAATTGCTCGTTTCCTGGTGTAAATAATTTACAGTTTTTCTCGATACGGTTACGAGTTCGCGAAGTCGCATTAGCCAGTCAATGGCTGACACGTCGGCGTGTGCTTGATTTCTTGCTTCAATGACGATCAACTTCGACAAGAAAAACGCGTAGTAGACTTGTTCCGATGCTCGCTCGAAATCCAGGAAATTTTCCAAAGTTTCCTAGAATAATCGTTTATAGGGGAAACATTTCATCGACGTTACGTTCGTCGCATTTGCATATTACGTTGCGTAGGTTATTAATTGCATACGACACGTATGTATAATTTTCTTATCTGTCGAAAGATCGGCATCTTTCTAAATTACATGAACGGCTCATGAATATTCATCCGAGCCGCATAATGGCGAGTATTCCAATGCGCGTTTCTGCAATAGTACGAAAAATATTCCGATCGCTACGTAAATCGGTAACTCAAAGTTAATTAGGTGTAACTTAGTTAAACAGGATTTGGCAAAGATCAGGAATGACGGCAATTATGATTCCGATTGATCAAATTGGAGGAGCCCCGATCCAATGATTTGTGCTGATGGAATTTGAGCCTAGAAAACCGTAATTCAGCTTGAAGAACTTTTAGGTATAGTCTTTGGCTTGAATCTTTGCTGTCTAGACCTAATCAAACTTGGCCAGAGTCTATCTCTGATATTTTTGGTATCGTTGCTGTGTTTTGTCCCCGAAACTTATTCCTGCGTCAACAAGATCCAGCTTCGATATGCACTCGCTATGTAATAATGATAATAACAAATAAATAACTAATGCCCGTAAATTCCTCTGAACAAGATATTGCGGTTCAAAGACCTCTTTGACGTCGACTTAAACACGAGGAATATCGGTATAATAACGACACGACACTGAATGTACGGCGTTCTCGAGAGTGGAAACCCCCCCAGTCGCCAACCGTTTTCCTCTTGCAGTCGCGTATTCTCCGTTGACGTTACTCACGTTCTGAGAATTTCATAGGTCGTTGCCTGACCACTGAACGATTGATTCAGTCGGTAGGCGGCGATCCTGCCTGTTATTCGAGATGTAGCGGAACGATCGACGCAGTCGATACGCATAGGCGGGGGACAATTTGTGTGACAAGATCAACAATGTGAAAATCGAAACTTCCTCATCGCTTAGTCACCCATAATTATATGTAAGTCTCCGTGGTTCATTATAGAATCTTCCGCGCCGCTTTCATCGGTCTTTACGTGTTAATTTCTGATATTCATCGATACATGTAAACAGATCTAAAATTATTTCCAGGCTCTGATAGTTTCTGACTGAGACCTTCAGTAAATTAAAAAAGGCCTGAAGCAATTTCCATAGTATTTTTTTTTCATGTCTCGAAGATTACTCTTTGTGCTTTTACCACTAGACTGCGGATATTTACGCAAATCTTCACTTTAGCGCGTCATTTTACACAAATTAAAAATAATGAAACGTTCCTTTGTCAACTGAAAGAATATTCACCGTAAAAATAAAATAAAAATACCGTTCGATAATTTATACTTTTCCTTGCAATTTAAGGATCTGCACATGCCATAAACGGATAAAGATCCGCAGTTTATTAATCGCATTCTGCATTTCTTTTTTTCTCTTTTACTATTTATTGCGATTTTGTCGATCACTCTAGTACATCGCTGTCGACCAAATATTTTCGCTTGACATAACCTTGAGCAAATATTTTCGGGATGCACACAGTACGCGTTTCCGAAAGTATCAGTCGCCATTTCAGTATTTTACGTGTTACGTAATTTTGATTGAACGTCTGATTGGGTCAAGTGGTGAGAACAATAGTCGGTGTCTGGTCGTCACTCCTCGCTGTGCATAACCCTATTTTACAATCTTAATTTATCACATCCGCGGCAACATCTCCCCGCGCGGTCGTTGCACATGTTACGCGCGCTTCCTCGTTGCCGGAAGTGTCACTTGGACGTCTCGTTTCGCGGCCGATAGTCTCGAAATTGAAAAGAAACCTCAAGGGCGATTCTATAAAACCGCATCCTACTGCGCGCCGTCCAAGCTTGTCACCCTTCATCCTCTTAATTCCGCCAAGCACCTTTTTCACTCCCTTCTTTCCATTCCGCAATAGTGTTCTCATGCGATATTGAAACTTATTCATTTTATTTTATCATTTCACGCAGCCGATTTTATCACAGAAATCCGTTGGTGCGATTTGAAGCAGTGAAATAATTAGAAGAACGTATAAATGTGTGTACAGTAAATTCTTCCAAATTGTCTCCCCCTCCCTAATTGGGAAGAGGAGGTACGATTATTGTTGTACGATATAGTTGTTAACAATCCGTATAAAATATAAAATATAAAGACGAGCCGCAAGGCTCCAATAATCGTATCTCTTCCTCCCAAATTGTCCATTTTTGTATACAATCTGAGCGTCAATTAGGGAGAATTTACTGTAATTAAAAAGTTACGCGGAATTCATTCTCAATTCTGTCACTGAAAAGCAAAGGAGTTGGTACTCGGTTCGGTGAAAATAAGATTCCTTAGTGCAAAAGTGGTGTACTGATTTTATGGAAATTACAGTCAATTCACACTGATTGTCCCTCAGTTTTTAAACAAAAATGTATTCAGAATGGATGGAAATTGCCGACTGTCAACAACTACGAAAACGAATCGCAAGGCTCGAATAATCGTATCTCCTCTTCCTAAACAGTCCATTTTTGTGTACAAGCTGAGGGACAATTTGGGAGAATTTACTGTAATTCGCAGAGTTACGCGGTATTCATTCTCAATTTTATCACAGTTATTATGAAAATGAGTTTTCTGTTCAGTCGGAATAAGTTTTATTTTATAGTAGTATGAAAATAGGGAATTGTGCAAAAACAATGCTCAGTTCAGCCTCGAAATTATGCAGAATTCGTTCATAGTTTAGTTACAATTGTTACAAAACTAGGAACTGTTCAGAATCAACTTTCAGTCTAGTCAGGATTATTATAAAATGTGAAATAAAGATATTGATCTTCACTTGCACTTTTAACTCTTTACACAAATATGAAATGACTACTTTATGGATCCAAGGTTTGGCGTGATATTGTTTTAACACAGATTTCATTTTGTGGGTACCGTAATTACCCTCAGACTGGAGAAACAGGAGTGGCCAAAATTTGCAAACAGCATAAGTGCATAAAGATTGATTCATAAAGATCTGATTCCTTGTCAGCCGGCTTGTTCATCATCGATCACCGATTCTAGTGGAAGCCCTGCCGGATATTTCATTAAACGCCATTACACAGAGTTCAGTTCGTTTGTGGATAACCGTTATTGAATTTATTATCGATTAGTTGTTGAACATTTGTAACCGCTGTACATGATTATCGGTAGCTTAAATAGATTAGCCTACGCGGCAACGTATATCCATAAGCACACCAGCGAACACAGGAGATTATCGTTAATCAACGTTGCACAGCATACGTATATTTTTCAACTCGCATACGCGACCGAACCTGTCGACGCCTGAAAACAATTGACTTGAAGTTGTGATCGATTCGTGCATCGTATCTCGTAAAGCCTCGTTTCCACTGGCTTAGCTTTTGCCCAATGCAGTGATCGCTTCATTCATCGATTGGACGCTTGAAGCTTTACTTTAAAGGCGACTTTATTTGCTCGAATTTGTTTAACATGAAAATGTTAACCAACATTATCACGAAGATACACAGTGTTCTAGACTTGTTTTTTTTTATGAAACTGCATTCTTTTCATCAATTGATACATCATCGTATCAGCTGGTGCCGATGATTTGGCCTCGCTTGGCACGATTTCCGTCGATATTTTACCGCACTGTACTCTTTTTTTACAAGGATCGGCTCATTCGGTTCGCAGAGTCGCGCAGCTTAGGCGAAGCGGCAAGGCCAAGCCAGTGGAAATATAAGCCTCAACATCTTGCACCGTTAATCCACTATGTTATGGTACAGGCAGCCCTCTTACAACAGGGAATCCTATAACAGGGTTCACATTCGAAATGCAGCCGAAAAATTGTCTATCTGCATACCATGAAATCTACAATGACCTTGTAAGAATCAGCAAAACCAACAAAAAACAGAATTACAGATTTTTTAAAGAGGGTAGAAAGTGCAAAAAGTCTAAATAAAGAAGAAGGTTCAGAATGTGAAGGTGATATCGTTCAACCGAAAAAACGTTCTCGTTTGATTGTACTGAGCAGTGACGAGGAAGAAATTTATTAAATTAAGGTTACATTAAATGAAAATATTTTTTGTTTTTTTTTTCGTTTTGTGTTATACATACATTTATTTTTTTTAAATAAAAGTTAAGTTGCTTATGTGGAATTAAAAAAGAAATGTTTGTTTTTAATAAGTTTTCGGCACGTAATCCTCATTCTTTTACTGACTTTGGGTCTCATATAACATGGTTTCACACAACCGTGTTATAGGAGGGTTTCCTAATTTAACCTGTATTTTATTCGGGAAAATAGCGGATCACGCATTAGTCAAGATTGACCGAAGAATACATACATACCTACTGAAGATAAATACCTACGTACAGTCCTTGTTTCTAATAACAGTAGAATGAGAATTCGCGTTCAGTGTGTTAATTAACGATGATCGTTTATAAATTATCATTACTCATGGACTAGAGACTTTGAAGGGTGTCGTTTCCCCCCCTTGCAGGAAATATTTGCTCACTTTCTTTGTTCAGTTTATTTTCAATTCCTTTGGTGGGAGGGTGGGGGGGGGGATGTGTGTGGAAAATATGTGAACATTTTTTGGTATTTTCTCTGTCGTTGTTATCTTTTATACTGTTACTCATACACAAAAAGATCGAACTGAAAGGAACCAATATGAGTAACATTGAAGTGTGTAATCCTACTTCAAACTGTATCAAACCAACATAAATCGGGTTGCGAAGCCACTTTGATTGAATTTACCAGAACCAACGAAGCCAAATTGTAAATATCAAATACGCCTGAACTAATTAAACATGCTTCAAACCAAATCAAACGAACAAATTCCAACCAAACTGACGTTCTTCTAAACGGAAACAATGTTAAATTGTTAACAAAGAAAAAATTTCAAGTCAAATTGGTCTGAATCAATTTAAATCAAATTCATCGATTGAACCAGAACAAGATCTACTAAAACCCGGTTCGAATCAAACCAGACCAGTCAGAACCAAATGGTTCCAAACCGATGCGATTGACATCGAATAAAATTTTTCCCAGAACTGTTCGAACCGACTGAAATCGAACAGAATCGGCCAACAGTTCAAACCGGAATAATTTCAATTAATTCGCGACCAAATTGATCCATTCGATTCAACTTGACCCCAAACTGATTGATCCGAGTAGCTCCCTAGAAACCTAAATCCGAGCGAAATCGAACCGATCCAGTCGGTCTGGTTTAACCGTGTTTTCTGAATCGGTCAGATTAGTCGATCAGTCCGAGTCGGACAGAATCGAACCGATCCGAATCAAGGCGCGGCGAACTTGGACCTATTTTGAGAGATCGGCGATCGGATCAGCCCGATTCGGTAAGGTATTCGACTCGTCATCTCGGATGCGGTTCACGTCTTCCGATCGTTTCAGACGCTCTTCTCGGATATGGTACTTCTGTTGCTATCTCTCCTCTGCAAGTTACGGGCGTGCCTTTGAGTACGAACAGGTGGCTCCCTGTCGCTGCCCACGCGTCTCAGACTGGTATCCCTCTCGGCGCGAACATTCTTAGGTGTCGACGGACCCCGGACGTTCGTGTAGACCACGTAGACGGCCAGAATGCCAACAACGAACATGGCCACGCCGACGCCACTCACCGTGCCGACCTGAAATTTATCTAACATCAGTCGGTGGATCACTAAGGCTCTACGACATCGTTTCTATAGCAAATCTCCTCATTCATCCATCGAAATTTCAATTCAACATCTAAATCTTAGGACTCAAGATATATCCCTAAGTTTTAAAATTTAAGTCCCAAATTTTAGGGTCTAAGGGCTTCGCATATATTTTAGAACCTCAGCTTCAAATTTTAGATACTACCTCTATCCTATACTTAAGATCCAGATCTTGGGTACTAAGACCTACTCTTATCTAGGAATCTAAGATAGCTTCTTTTGAATTTTTGGTATGATTTTAATGTAGCACCTCGTGTTCATGGCAGAGCGCCATTTCAGTGTTAAATGTTAGATAAGTTAGATAACGATCCAATACCTTGAGTATAATAGAATTTAGTTTCATATTTATCCAATTAACCTTACACAGGCACAAAATTCTCAGTCCAATTGATCCATAAATTGTTAGAAGTTAATTGATCATAAATTCAGCAATTTCTGCGTCAAGACAGATAAGCGGTATTAATAGTTTTGTTAATTATCTATGAATTGCAAATTAGGTTTAACTCGCTATGTTAACAGTTAATGTCTAGCTTAAAGTCGACAACTTAATCTCGGGTTCATCGGCGTTCCTCTTCAAACCACGAAGAAAGAAACTATTAAATTCTCCCTAATTAACGCTTACGGTAATTCCTTCCTATTTCGCGCTCAGATTGTACACAAAAATGGACAATTTGGGAAGAGAAGATACGATTATTCGAGCCTTGCAGTTTGTTTTTATAGTTGTTGACGATCGGTAACTATAAAAACGAGCCGCGAGACTTGAATAATCGTATCTTCTCTTCCGAAGTTGTCCATTTTTATTTACAAGCTGTGCGATAATTGGGGAGAATTTACTGTATAAAATCAAGCCGCAAGGTACGAATAATCGTATCTCCTCTTCCCAAATTGTCAATTTTTCTGCACAATCTGAACGTCAATTAGGGAGAATTTACTGTACCACTATAAAATCATTTGCATCAACTTTTCCTGCAGTAATTTCTCGGCGTTAGAATTACAGTGATTATGAACTGACCATGGTCCACCATTCGGTGTTGTCCATCTCGGACACCAAAACCTGTGCAGCGTCATCGTCATCTTCGTGGATCATCTTGATCTCTTTGGTGGTGGTAGCGCAGCCGGTTCGCGTTCCTTTTTCTTTGGTCATCAGTTTCTTGAAGAGGATTGGCATCACGGTCTCGTTGATATCGTCGTTATCGTCGTTGTCGTTGTCCTTGTCGTCGTCATCGTCGTCTTTAGAGTCGTCGGCGTCGTCTCCCCAATGCAACGATGCCTTGTTCTGGTGCACCACCACCCTGCCGAGTCGCATCAATTCGGTACCCCTCTTCTTGATCGATATGTCCATGCTGTTCGCTGCCGCCCTCGATTCTTTTATGTACTCAGTCAGGACATTAGAAAGGACGTTGTTCCAGTCCACCGGGTTCACCGGGTTCTTGCATTTCTTCTTCTTGCTATCGTTTCATACAAGCTCGGTCAGTTCCTTTTCGGTGCTAATTATTGGCTGCTGTTCGAAAGAACTTGATCACACGAATTGTTATTGCCAATGAAAAATTTGGTCAGCGATTTCTTAAGAAACAGTGAAAAGTAAACGATCTGCGCGGCTGGTTATAATAATGATTTCATTCTCATTTAGAATCTTTAAAACTATTTTATGATTTGACGATATTTTCTATAATACTTTCCAACCTAGCTATTAAAAGTCAAGGGGCAGGAAAACTGAACTTGTATATTCATCATCTTGAATTATAACAAAACTCTACGGCAGATGTTTTCTGAATTTTTCGAGAATAATAATTCTATTTTAACGAGCAATCCTTAATGATTCTTAAACTGGGATTAATCATCACTTAACATGGGGTAATCATCTTCTGCTATTTTGAGTTCTTGATCATAACTACTGATAGCAAATAGATAGGAAGCGTCTTGAATAATAGCGAAGCTTCACAGCGGACGTCATGATTTCAAATAACAGTATTCATCGTAATTACTGATCATTGTAATAACTAACTGAAAATAGGAAACTAGCACGTTCATTAACCCAAATTTAACAAAACACAATAGCAGATGTCTTAGTGACCAATAATAATAATATTGATTAACAAAACAGAAAAATTGCGCCCACAGTGCGGTGACCACAATAACAAGCAAATATAAACAAGGAAGAATGAATAAATTAAGTAGGCTGCCATCTGGGAAGAACAATTTTCCTATAGATATACAGAGTGTCTCAAAAATGTCTTGTAATCTGGAAATGGAGGGTTCCTGAGATCATTTGAAGCAACTTTCTCCTTAGCGAAAATGCAAACCGCGGCTTCGTTTACGAGTTATTAGCGAAAAACAGTGACCAATGAGAGGCGAGCTCAGCTGGCGCGAGCCGGCCGAGCCAACGACCGTGCGAAGCCCAGCTCAGCTGGCTCGAGGCGGCCGAGCCAACGGCGCCAGCGGTCGAGGTGGCCGAGTCAACGAGCGCGCGAAGCCCAGCTCCGCTTATTGGCTCGGCCGTCTCGCGCCAGCAGAGCTCGCTTCTCATTGGTTGGCGTTTTTCATTAATAACTCGTAAATAAAGCAGCGGTTTGCATTTTTGCTAAGGAAAAAGTTACTTCAAGTCCACCATTTCCGAATTGCAAGTCATTTTTAGGACACTCTGTATATGAATATGAAGTGCTGTTTGCCGAAATGAGTAATGCGCAGGTAGCGGGAAAAGAAGATCGACCGGGGCAGCAAATAGGTTTCGTCATTAACAGCTGTTCAGTCACAACTGAATCGTAATGCATCGTTTATCTGCCGCGATGTCCCGTTTCCTGCAACGTCCGTTTATCCGAGTNTCGACCGGGGCAGCAAATAGGTTTCGTCATTAACAGCTGTTCAGTCACAACTGAATCGTAATGCATCGTTTATCTGCCGCGATGTCCCGTTTCCTGCAACGTCCGTTTATCCGAGTGAAATATCGATTTGATAAAGCCGACAACCGTGTATCCTTGGTCTTAATCGATACACATGTCGCTTTAGCACCTCTATTATTATTACGGAACGCAGAATTCTAACGAGTCAGTAATTCTTTCAGCGACAATTCATGTCGCCTGTTACGCAAACTGTGGATTTCATTAATATTGACTAAACGGTGAGAATTCATGCCACGGTGTTTGCACACTGATCACTCGCGATAATTACTGTACGAATAAAACGATCTGTCTATTCGGCTCGCATACTGATCGTACTATTGCGTGAAATATCCTGATCGCCAACCGACCACACTCCAATAATACGAGCTAATAGTTCGATAATTAAACTGAAATATTCGAAACGAAAGTAAATCGATTAACTAAAACTAATTTCAACTGCGAAAGAGTGGGCCGTATACATGCTTTAGAAAATAAAACTGATCCGATTCTATCTAGAGTAACAAACGATTCAATTAATTAAATATTACAAATATGAACGTGAACACGCTTTAGAAAATAATATAAGATTCATAGATCCCGAAGATTCTTATAGATCTCAAGGATGTAGTTACCATCCGTATGAAACGAAGTTTTCAGGTTAGGTTGAGCAGCAATTTGTACGACACTCAATTAACATGGAGATTTTCTAATAAGCTCGTAACTCCTGTCAATCAGTCTGGACATCATGAGAAAATCCTCGGTTTCATTTCCTTCTTTTCGCTGTCAAGCCGGCTTGTCACTTTCTACGGGAGCCGCTGGTTAACGAGTAATCAAATCATCATGCTCACCACAGCGTGTCTAATGCTTTTGTGTAGACCTTTACCGCGTCCTCGAGCCATCTGGCTTCCCTCAGTTCCTCGGCATCGTACTTTCCAGTGTCCTTGCTGGGCCACCACTTTGATTTCACGACTCTCGCCTCCAGTCCCGCGAATTCGTTTCTGAAACGAGCGAAAAGATCGTACGTGTACTATACATGTGTATATGGTAATCGTGAAAAAAATAGCGCTGTCGAGCCTCATTTTTTTAAATCCGATGTTAATCCTGTGGGGATTTATTGGGACGGAACAAATGTAATACGTGTTTTCTGATAAATAATGCAGAATTTTAATAAGGCGAGATTATATCTGCGAGTGTTTACGTTGGAGATCGACGATGTGCGAGTGCGAGCGCGCGGAGCGTTTGTTTTGATTTCTTTCGAGCCCCTTCGGCAGTGCCGCGGTCGAACGGTCGAGGAGACTGTGACGCAGTTGATTTTGTAACCGTTAGGCGCGCTTCAATTTCGTGCATTTCGTGCGAACCGCGGGGCAAAGTACATTTTCGCGTCGCCTCGCGCCAGCCGAGCTTGCCTCTCACTGGTCACTGTTTTTCATTAATAATTTGTAGACGAAGCCGCGAATTGTATTTTCGCTAAGGAAAAGGTTACATCAAATGATCCCAGGAACTTCTCATTTTCGGTTTGCGAGACATTTTTGGGACGCTTTGTATATAATATTACTTATTAAATAAGAATAAATGTGTTATTGTTACTTTTATAAACTGATATAGAGACATAATTAGACTGGAATAGAAATGTTTTATCTTGACAGTGGCAGAATTAACAGCAGTCATGTTAAAGTTCTATTAACGAAGAATTAAACTTTGGTCTTATAATATATAATTATATATATTATAATACCATATATATATATATATATATATATATATATATATATATATATATATATATATATATAATATATAATATATATATATATATAATTATAA